TATAATAAAAATTATTTGTTTATAATTTAAAAAAAAATTTGGCTAAGTTTATATTATAAAAAATTTTTTATTATATTATAACTTATTTGTTTTATATAAAAATTAAAACTTATTTTCTTTATTTTTTTTAAAAAAATATTTATTAAAATAATTTAAAAAAATTCTTTTAAATTTTTAAAAACAAAATATATTTTAAAATACTGTATATTTAAATAAATTTTATAAAATTATATTAATTTTTTTTATTTAATTCTAAAAATAAAATATAAAATTAAAAAAGTTTTAAAAAATTATAACTTATACTATATATACTGTATATATAAAAAAATTTAACAAAATAATAAAAATAAATAAATTTAAAAAATAAATATATATTATAAAAAAAAATTTTAATAAAAAATATATAAAAATTTAATAAAAAATATATACTGCATATAAATTCCACAATAAAATATTTGAAAAAATCCAATAAAATAATAATAAAATAATAATTTTATTTGAATTCAAAATCAAAATACAATTTTAAATAATTTAAATATTAATAATTAAAAATTGTTAAATAATAATATTTTTATATACAGTACATACAGCATATATTGATTAAAATATTTTTCTTATTAAAAAATTTTAGTTAAAATAAAAATTTTAAAAAGAAGTAAATTTAAATTTAAAATATTTTTTAAGTATTATTGTAAGATAAATATCAAGATTTCTGTAATTTCAAATCTTATATTATATTATAAAAGTAAATTATATCTATAATTTATGATAAATACAAGTTTCTACAAATCTAATTATAAAATCAAATATCAATAATAAATAATAATATGGATAAATAAAAAGTTAAAATACGGCATATCAAGTCTCTAAACAGAATCTCATTTTTCAAAAATTTCAAAAATTGGATTTCCGTAATAAAGGATATTAAAACGTGATTGTTTGTCATAATTAATAAATTTGTTTATTTGTTATTTTTTTTTACGTAATTTCATATCCATACTGCATACACGTAGGGCAGATCATTGATGCGACGATAATTTTTTATTTAACTTAAATATATGAAAAAGATACTCGGACGGTTTCTGGAAAGTTTCGCGTGAGAAAATCATTCTCGTACCACGCACGCACAAAAACATAAGGAGAAAAAACAGGTTGCGGTTTTGTTTTAGCGATACCGCTTTGTAATGAAGAAACGATTAGTATGAAAAATCGGATATGCTTAATCCGAAATGTATATCTAACTAAGGTGGCATCCCATGCAATGCAAGTGTGTACACCGATGCCAAAATCGAAAGGTGCTGGGGAGCATTTCCGGATTGGTATAATCATAATAGTGGTCGATGGACTTTTCTAACCGATTGCTGTACAAAGAAATTCGAGATTATTAATATTCAAAATGTCCCTCGGCAAGTTGCGATTTAGTAGGTCGTATAATGGTCATTTTGGATTATTCTTTATAAAGTTTTTTTTAGTTTAGTTTTTATGTATGCGTATAATTGAATGCAAATTTATTGTCCTCCATATTGAGAAATAAACGGTTTCTACCCCACAAAAATTATCAAAATAGGCTGATGAATAGATGATCGATGAGTGACCGATAACAAAAATGTATAAATATCGTCTCTCTCTTTTTGCTATGGTAAAAATCAAAATCAAAATAATAATAAAAATTTTTTTTTTCATAAAATTTCGACCAGAATGATGGAAGTCACAGGTAGAGAAATCATCAACTCGTATTTTTTTAAAGAATTTATTATTTAGAGCACATCTTAATGCATCATTTGTAGAATTAACGGTAATAGACCGTATTCGAATTGCATTATCAAACATTGAAAAGGTTCCGGCACACAAGATTTCTTCACCACCACATCAGAAACGCAGAGCTAGTGTGGCGATAATAATTCGAATTTGGCCCAATCCATCAACAGTTTTTCGCACTGATAGGTCATCATCATCCTTGGAAACGCCAGAAATAAGTAATTTGGATGATTTCTGGAAATTGCCATGGGTAAAAAACGGAGTGCCGGAGATATTGTATATAAAACGAGCATTAAGGGATGGGGATCGTTGGAGTGGTCAAATGGCCTTCCCAGGTGGAAAACAGGATCCCGAGGACGTAGATGATTTAGATACCGCGGAAAGAGAAACATTTGAAGAAGGTAATGTCATTGTATCATTATCACTATCACCATCATCATTATTATTATTTCCTTCTATACATTAGAATAATCGGAAATGTTTTTTTAAAATTTTCCCGTTCCGTAGTTGGCTTCGACCTCGGAAATAATGAACAATTCATCTGTGTTGGAGCATTAGATGATTTAGAGGTTACTACGACATTCGGCAAAAAATTATTGATGATTCTATGTCCTTTCGGTAAGAGGAACGACCCTCTACAGATTCATCGATCACGTGGCTAATTGATTTTGTGGGATTTTAGTTTTTCTACAAGTGACACGGGAATCTCCGCCAGTCGAGATATCGGGATCAGAGATTGCATCGGCGCATTGGGTTCCAATCTCAACTTTCTTTGATCCTCAGCTCACTCAAAAAAGGAATCCCATCTCAATCGATCTATCATCTCGTTTAGCACCAAAATCTTGGATACTTCAAAATATTCTAAAGACTTTAGTAGGTCGGATGCATTTTCATTGTATCGATATACCTCGGTTTGATTCCAATCAACGTCTATTGCCCTTACCGTCGGAAGCAACACAGGGGGCAGACGTTCAAACGCTAAGACTTTGGGGATTAACACTGCAAATGACAAGTGATTTGATGGATATGATGTATAGACCCGAAGAGAAACCACCGAGAAGATTAGATGCATTGCGACCAAAATTTGACTATTGGGATGTGAATTTTTTTATATGGTGTTTCCTGAAGAATAATCGCGTACGATATCGAAGGCACCGAACAGATTTTGCAAATAGAAGGTTTGTATATTGCTTCATCCGTTATTTATCCTTATTGATTATTCGTTATAAGAGATATTAACTCGTTTCTCTAAATAAAATAAAATAAAATTAAGAACAAAATGGGCAAGCGGATGGGTTGATTATCATCGGGCAGTACAAAAATCAGTCATCATTGCTACTATCACAAGAACTTTATTTGGAATATGGGTATTATACAAGTTACCAAAATTTCTAAGATATATGATAAACATTTCCAGATTTGTGGTGGGGGATGGGCGTGATAGATCAATCCTATAATAAAAGATTTTGGCGCATTCAAGACGTTCATTCTTTGTTTTGATAGATAATAAATACATATACTATATTATTTAACTTATGTATCGAAACATCCAAGTATACAGTATATAATTTGTTAAACAATTAATCCATACTTAAATGCGCATTAAATATGAAAACAGAAGATACAGGGTTGTATGTCACATGTACATTACACGTTTCAACTCCTAAATTCGTAAAAAATAATGATAAAAGGATTACAAATTATATTATTTACAATTGAGAGGATCGAGTTTTAGATGACCGTAAATATAAAAAAATACATTCAAACGAATAAATATTGACTGAAAAGTCCGCCCGGATATTATCCAACCAACCATTTTCCCGGTTCTGTCTCAATTGTTGACGACGACTTTATCACCATTCAATTCTTCATCCACCCATCCTTTTAACACTTCGCATAATGAATCTTCCATGGTGCGCGTCACATAAAAATGATCCGTGCCTTTTAATTCCTTAACAGTCCATCGTGGATTCTCGTCCAGATTATTTTCACGCACCCACTGTCTATACCTACCCAATCTTGTGAACTGGTCATAATCTCCATATATAAATAACACCCGAGCATTCGAAGCGATCATGGATTTAATATGATTGGAATACACTGATGAACGGAAAAAAGTGAGAAGCCATGTTACCGACAATGGATAACTGACTAGTATATAGCACGTAGGGAATGGTGGTGATGTTGAGGCCATTGTGGAGGCAATTAGTGACCCGTAACTGTATCCCTGTGAAAACATATGGAATGTTGTTAAACTTGCGTGTTTAAAGAGATAAAAAGATTTTATTTCGAAGGAAACTCACTATAACTGTCAGATCAGAAATTTTGGGGATTTCCATGATGATGTCAACACCGACTCTACCCGAATTCGATAGAAACTCTATCATGGATTTATAGTCACCGCTCTCCGGTTCTCCGGACCAACTTGTTCGACCTTTAGAATTTCCTACTCCCCTACATTAACATAAGCTCCCTATATGAATTTGTTGTTCCTCACTATAAGTATTAGCAGAATTGAATTGACAGTGTTACCTGAAATTAAATGCAATGGTCAAGTATCCCCTAGTAAGGAAAAAGCTCTCGATCGTGACGACAACGTTATTATAGTAATTTCCGCCTGCATGAATTAATATATGCAAAGGAATTAAAGAATTCGATTGCAGTATTTTAGCACAAAAACCGTGATCCCACAACGACCGATTTTCCATAATAGCTTTCTAAACCATTATTGTGCATTGGGAGACTACAAACCTACTGGCCCATACGGATGAGAAATTATCACAGCTTTCACTGACCTCTGTTCTCCTATATCAACATTTTCGTTTCGCCAATAAGACACTCTAGCCTCTAAACGGGTCCCATCATGCAATGAAGGAATGAGCACTCGTTTAACAACTTTTTGCAATGGGAAAGTTTGGTTCATTCTGATATTAAGCCAGTTTCTTTTGGAATTCTGAATGAATTCAAAGAATCCTGGTTTCCGTCCAACAGGACAAATCAAGTTTGTAGATCCCGTGATGCATACGGACGATCACCAACCTAAGTGGTGGTTTATTTATTTTTATTAGAAAAAACTTCTAACTGTCGCTTCCTTAGCGCAGCTGGCAGCGCGCCAGTCTCATAATCTGGAGGCCGTGAGTTCGAACCTCACAGGAAGCAAATGTAAATTTTTTTTTTTTTGATTTCTATTTATTCTTACCTATCGATCTGCTTAACAATATTTGTAATATATTTTTTATTTAAATATACGGTAATTAATAAAAATTTTGATCACTCTTAAATGGCGTCAGTTGTTGATCCAAAATCTATCGGCACACCATTGAAGAAAAAGAAACGCACAAATGGTAGATCGCAAAGGAAACATCGCGTTTTATTTGACCATACTAATAAAACCTTCTTTAGCTGCAAGTAAAAAATCCTCTTCTAACTCAAAAAAAGAAAAGAAGGTCGATAATTCCAATTTGACTTCAAAGTGGTTAAATAGGAAGCAATTCGAAAATATGGGTAAATTATTCTTCATTTTCTTTCTTCCAAAGATACTTTGATAAATTTTTCATTATGCCTAATTAGGAGTCGAGTATAAGAAAGGTGTCTTTACGAACGACGAGAAAGAAAGAATAAAACAAGCATTACTTGACTATCAAAGGGTAGGTTCAACAGCTTTATCTGTATCTTATCGAAAGCGTTTGAATTAAATGCTCAATTTATCGATGATTCAAGTTACATAATCTAGACTCTAGTAAACTTCAGACTCTCATATACGGCCGGCATTCGCTAGAGCATAAAAATTTTTGGCCATATATTGGTAAACGAAAAGAGATCTCAAATTTAGTTATGATTTAACATCTATAGCGGTTATTGATAATTATATTTTTGCAATAGCCACTCATGTGGGAACGCGCCCAATTAGAACACTTGCAATCCATATTCAAAGGGAGTTTCACCCTTTTAATTACACTGGTTCGTGGAGCTCTGAAGAAGATGAGAAACTAAAAGGGTAAAAGAAATTATCAACATACCATTAGTATCTTCTAATATGTTGGCATCCTTTTAAAATGCCTTTTTTATAATAGACTTGTTGAAATCTATTATCACGATTGGACCGCAATAGGTCATCAAATGAATCGCACGGGGCAACAATGTAGGGATCGTTGGCGAGATTACGTTGAATACGCAGGC